AAATTCACAAAATTTTCGGCATTAAACTTTCCTATCTTACTAATTCTAGGAGCGCTGCGGGAATATATGTTCGCTTTCCTCACCAGATGAGCTCAGGAGTTTCCTATACAGTGTTGGAGTATGAATATATGTAATCGCTTTCCTCACCAGCTGAGCTCAGGAGTTTCCTATACAGTGTTGGAGTATGAATATATGTTCCCTTTCCTCACCAGATGAGCTCAGGAGTTTCCTATACAGTGTTGGAGTATGAATATATGTAATCGCTTTCCTCAGCAGCTGAGCTCAGGAGTTTCCTATACAGTGTTGGAGTATGAATATATGTTCCCTTTCCTCAGCTGCTGAGCTCAGGAGTTTCCTATACAGTGTTGGAGTATGAATATATGTTCGCTTGCCTCAGCTGCTGAGCTCAGGAGTTTCCTATACAGTGTTGGAGTATGAATATATGTAATCGCTTTCCTCATCAGCTGAGCTCAGGAGTTTCCTATACAGTGTTGGAGTAGGAATATATGTAATCGCTTTCCTCAGCAGCTGAGCTCAGAAAGTTCCAAAGAAAGAATCATACACGAATTCAGATAGATGTGTACAATGAGAATTTCCTCTTTAATTTTCATTCTGTCACCAACACATGTAGTTTGCAAATTTTTCCCATACCGCTGTTTCTGCATCTACTGAACCACTCGCAAACCAATATAATGAAGTTTCACACATTTTATGTAAAGTGGCGTCGTAAAACTCTGTGAAAAACTAGGCAATATTCGCGATGATATGCACTCGTCGTGAAATATATTTTTCACTAGTTTTTTCCATACTCCCCCCCGTATCACCATTTGTTCCCTTTCTGTCCATCCTCTGTGGGAAGATCTCAATAATTCGATTCCCTCGAAACATCCCCGCGTTCTCAATCATGTTCATACGTACCTGTAAAATTCCTCCGCAAAATCTGAAATTTTTTGCTAATTATCTTACATCCAATTTCCTCAAATCTGGTAGAGCTCTCGTGAGCATCTCAACACCACCAGAAGTCAAATAATTATACGACAGATCAATCTGCAGAGCACCCGACTCTCATCCCGAAGGTCCCTAGATCGAATCCCACGCCCTACTACCTCTTTAACCGCCGTAAATATATCGTCATTCGAATTCTCCCCAACTTCCCGCGACAGCCATTTCGTGAATTCATCAGTTAAATTATTTCCCGAAATCATCAAAGAGCTCAGCCGAGCTTTCGAGTGGCCAATCAAACCCTCCAAAATCTCAATTATCCTGGAAAAAATGCCCTCACCGGGGATCGAACCAGGGACCTTTTGCTTACCCACGATTTCCCAAATTCGACCGCGGTAAATTCACATGAACATGTACGTACATATCCTTCTTCGATTCCAATAATTCCTTTAACTCCTCCCTGGCTTTACTTGGATTTATTTTATCTAAAAACGCCCTCACCAGGGATCGAACCGAGGACCTACTACCACCGCCCTTCGCAGTTGACAACGTCGCTACTCTTCCTTCAACGACAATATACTCAAATTCACTCGATGGTTTACCTGTTCGAAGAAATACATGGAAAAAATATCAACAACCCGTTTTACGTGAAGTGGCGTCGTAATACTCTGCGAAAAAAATATTCTCGGTGATATGCAGTTGTCATGAAATATGTTTTACATATCACTAGAGTGGTGAAACTCCAATGAAATCAATTAAAATTAAAATATCACAACACTGGAGTTTCACAATATGAAGTGATGTAACACTTTATGTGAATAATAAAACATGTATGTTTCCGCGATCGCTAACACAATTCTCTTCCGCGAAGTGAAATATGTTTTCCATTAGTTTTTTTCATATCACCACCCGTGAAACTTCATTGTAAAAAATTACATAGCGATACTAGAGTGAACAACCGGACCTATTCCGTATCTTATGAAGGCAACCTCAAGATACTCCCTCTATTATTGGAGTTTCACAACAACCCGTTTTACGTGAAGCTCGGTGAGAAACTAGGCGATATTCACACTACGCAATTCTCCTGAAATATGTTTTCACAAGTGTTTTTCATAGCACTAGGGTGGCGAAACTCAAATATTACTCAGCAACCGTTATGAAGTATTAACATTCATTTATATCACACTAGTAAATGCCATATCAAAAACTATATTATTTGTATCGGAGTTTCACGGGCCGATATATGAAAAACGCATTTAACTTCGCAAAAAACGCGAATAACGCGTAAAACACTTGATTTGGAGTGTCTTGTACGGTGTAGTTCTCCAACTCTTCACAAGTCACCACATATCGCTCAGTTTTTCACAAGGAGTATTATTACGCCACTTCACGTAACACGGATGATGACTTTCCAATATATTATTATAATGCATCTCACGCCCCAACCAGCTGATATGAAAATCATCAAAAATGGAACTTCTGATTAGCACTGTCGCGATACAATGTAAATAAAGAGAGCTCCACAGCAATGCTCATTTAAGGATAAAACACGTATGTGTCGCCGTCGTGCTGCTACCACCACAACGTTGATGTATGATTATAATAATGAAAATTCACCCTAGTGATGTGAAAAACACTGGTGGGGAACATATTTCACGACTACGGATGTCGGGCTTTCCACATGGGAGTTCCAATGGACGAAACTCTGATGTGTAGTCGTAGTAAAAATCAGTGAAAAACGCGACACTCGGTGATATTCGCGGTGATAGTCGTGATGTAGCTAAGAGTTATAAACTG